GAGTGTACCCTCAGCAAATTTGCTGATGATAACAAAACTGGGAGTGGCTGACAACACCAGAAGGCTGTGCTGCCATTCAGCGAAATCTGGACAGGCTAGGGAGCTGGGTGGAGAGGAACCCAATGAAATTCAACAAGGGCAAGAGGTCCTATACTTAGGGAAGAATAACCCCAAGCACCAGTACAGGTTAGGGGTTGACCTGCTGGGAAGCAGATCTATGGAAAAGGAGCTCTGCCGAGGAGGACCTGGGAGCCCTGGTGGACAACAAGTTATCTGTGAGCCAGCAGTGTGCCCTCGTGGCCAAGAAGGCCAATGGTATCCTGGGGTGCATTCAGAAGAGCGCGGCCAGCAAGTCGAGGGACGTTATCCTCCCCCTCTACTCTGCCCTGGTGAGGCCACATCTGGAGGACTGTGTCCAGTTCTGGGCTCCCCAGTTCAAGAAAGACAGGGAACTACTGGAGAGAGTCCAGCGGAGGGCTATGAGGATGATGAGGGGACTGGAGCATCTCTTGTGCGGGGAAAGGCTGAGAGAGCTGGGTCTGTTTAGCCTGGAGAAGAGAAGACTGAGAGGGGATCTCATCAGTGCTTATAAATATCTAAAGGGCGGGTGTCAAAAGGAAGGGGCCAGACTCTTCTCAATGGTGCCCAGTGACAGGACAAGGGGCAACGGGCACAAACTGGAACACAGGAAGTTCCATCTGAGTATGACGAAAAACTTCTTTACGGACACAGGCTGCCTGGAGAGGTGGTGGAGTCTCCTTCTCTGGAGATATTCAAAACCTGCCTGGACGTGATCCTGTGCAACCTGCTCTAGGTGATCCTGCTTTAGCAGGTGGTGGTTGGACTAGATGATCTCCAGAGGTTCCTTCCAACCCCTACCATTCTGGGATTCTGTGAGAACAGCCATATGTCCAACCATAGCTCTACCACCTTCCATCTGCTACCCAAAGGCCCTGCTAAACTTTGAAGTATCCAGAATCTTGCCTTGAGGGGTTTCATCATCCTTTGGACAACAGATATTTTGCTTATATCTGCCAACAATGGCTTGATCATGGAAGAAGCAACTGTCATGCCCTTGGACACCTTTCAAAGCACTACCTTCCCTGACAGCAGTTTCTTAGTTGTGCGTGCTAGGGGCTCCCAGATTGCAGTCCTGACCCAGGACAGACACCTCTTCCATCGACTGGGTCACTAGCCAGGTACACATTGCCAAGGATGAGAGCATAGATTTGAAAAACACAGGGATGCTGTTTGAAGAAAGAGGGTGGCTGACCTAACTCAACCCTGTGATAAGCAATTTCACTCAGCTGTATGACTTCAATAAATGCAAGCTCAACTTGCAGTTAGCACTCTGGAGATCTTGGCAGTCCTCCACTGTGGAAATCCTCATGGGAGACTTCTGAAACAAGATCTATTACATTGACACACATGAAAGCCTGACTTTGAAGGCCATATTTGTGACCAAGCCAGGCAAAAAGTCCACTCCCTTGGTGACTGAGCAACACCCATGTGCTGGCTTTCAGTGCATACGTAATAGAAATGGGATTTACATATGATGGAAACATCAAATACCTCTTGCATATCCTTCTGGTGCAGCAGTATTTCTTTGAATTTGCAGACACCAACTTCTGCAACAGCGTACATGATGGAGAGATGTCTACTGTCACTGTGGACATCCCTGACAACCCAATTAGTTATATTGAGGTGGCTCCCCTGACTGCACTACTTGCAGTGTCCTGCCCTCCTACAAAACATATCAGAATTGAAAAAAAAAAAAAAATCTAACAGCATATGACAAAGGCCTCATTCAGGAAGCAGCACCAAGAAATAATTTCCATTATACAATCAGCAATAACATACGATTCGCACTTCCTTGCCAGAAAAAATATACAGCAGGACTATCTACAGATCAAATAGAACTTTATAGATCTGGAATGTCCTCTTCTGGTATATTATAAAAATTCTTGGGTGCCAATTTTTGAGTTACAGGAAAACAATAGATTCCAGGAGCACGTCCCTGCTGAATTTTTTCTGTTTGAGATAAATGGAGTGCACAACTACGACTATCTTTTGACTGCATATGGTGCCAGCTGTGTCAACCTCAAAACTGAATTTCTTTGCTGGAGGAACAGGAGTGTCCAGATCCACGTACTGCATGGACCAGAAAAAACTACAAGAGCTTTAAGGATAGAAATGGAACTGAAGTGGCCCTCAGTTAAGTATCAAATTCTTGATGGAGATAAAAAAATAAGATCATTTTCCCTTCCTATAATCATCTATATGTCTTTAAAGCCATTGTAGTGGATACATTTTACAGTTACTGTGATTTATCCGTAAACTTCTCAGTATATGTCAATGCTGTTTTTCCCAGGAACTACCTACATTTTGGGGCATCACTGTCAGTCTTTCCGATTTTACTTTTGATTTTGACAAGATACTCCCTATCTCATTTATCACTCCAAAAAATTACAGATGCAAAAGTTACAGTATTTTGAGTGGGATTTTTGAAGGTCTCTGGGAAATCTAGAGAAGTTCCCTTTGATTTGGGAAAGTTTTGTTGTTATGAAAATGCAATGGAGAAACTAGGAAACAGCTCAGAGCTTTTTCTAATTAGAAAGGGGTTTTTTTTGTTATTCTGAAATTGAAAAAGGAGATCATTTTACAATGTCTTAAACTTCTTAACCTTTTTCTGCCACTTTTTTTCCTCATCTTTCATTCTAAATTTTTCACTGACCCTATGTGGTTAGTCCTACTTGTTTCACTGTAGAGATAGTTTAAATGTATTTCCAATACGAGTGCATGATTTCAGAAATATGACAGCTTTTTAATTTGATTTTAGGAAACAGCTTTTAAATTAAGCTCTCTAACTAGTACCAATCCAGGCTGTGTGGCAAAGACCAATTAGCCCCAAATTTCTAAACTTAAAGTTGTAACCAACTCCTACAGAGAGCTTTTCACTCACGCTGAGCTTCAGGAGAATATTACCTATCTTAATAACTGTACTGTGAAAGCCCAGCATTCTGTGGAATTTCTAAATCCATTGTATGGGTGGACTTTTTATGTATTTAAAGTAATTTGACAGACATTTTTCTAATAAGATGGTAATAGTCAATTAAAATGAAACCAGCTACAACAGTAAGGAAATGGACATTTTGTCTACAAGTTAAACAACAATTAATACTGCTTTTGCTATGACCTATTTCAGACAACTTTTAGAATCCTGTAAATTTGCAATATATATGATTTTTAGGTATTTATTGCTAGTTAAGGCTTTATTGCATTACACAGATTGTTAAACTACATCATTTAAATTTTGAGACATTAAAGATGATTCTGTTGTAATTTAAACTTAAATATAAAGCTAAGATTATTTTTCCTGTTTCAATGCATAGAAAAGTTAAGTTTTAAACTTAAGATGAGGTGACAAGTTCTGAAAACTCCGCAGCTATGTCAGCACTAAAAAAAAATTAAGTACACAATTCAAGGGAAATACTGCATTTAGTATGATTTCTAACATTTTTGAGAAGGTAGGTGGGGATTGATGCCTGAGACCAGAAAAGGCACAAGACCTTACTATAACATCATAGTCATCTCCTATAACAGTAAGCGGAAATCAAGGAAATCTCCCTTCTGGTAAATATTATAACTGAAGCACAGAACTGAGCTGCTTTGTGAAGGTTACATAGGAGAGCATCCCTGCTGCCACACTAGCGGCCAGTCTAATTGCATACAAGTCATTAAAAGCAGTCTTTGTTTGACCACAAAATAATTAAGGGTTTCATCTCTTTTAGTAACCACCAACTAGAATTACTCTGGAATTTGTGATTGACAGCCTGAACAACAAATTAAATTAAGCTTCAAGATGCATGCAGACCTTTAAATATTTTTTTTTGTGAACAGGTATTGCCTGTCGTCCTGGGGCTTGCCCTTGTGCTGCTCTGCTCAACTTTTTCCTTTTTGTCCGGTTTCAAACTATGAGACCCCATCCCTCTCCTTCCCACAGTTTCTCTAAACTTGCCCTGAAAGCAACTTAAACTGAGTTTTTATACCATCCAGGCACCTATTCACTTCTTCTACTTCTAGGTGGCATTCTTCTCTAATATTCTTAAGCAGCTTATACTTAAAGTACTTTGGAGACGTGACAGTTCATACAAGCAGACCACCACTAGATACTGCCCCAAGTCACACATACTAATGAATGTATAAAAGCTCTGTAAACAAAATGCAAATATACAGAATATAAGTCATTCCACTGCTATGTGCATGTGAAAATTAAACAAGAAAGATTATTTTTGCTGTTTTAGAGGAGAGAGTCAGAAAAAGAACAGGCTGGCTGAATTACTAGAGAAAGTGGAAGAATAGCATGTAAATACACAATTTAGCTGCCATACCATGACTGTCATTTATTCATATACACAATGGATTCAAATATTAGATTTTGCTCTCAAACTTTACATCACTTAAGTGCTGAAGTTCAGCTGCATGGATTGAGACTCTCTCCATTTGCAAACCATGCCTTCCTACGCGTGGCATGCTTTCTATACCACATTCACAGCCTACTGAAATCTATAAAATCTTATTACTCTAGATTTACATTTCACAAAATAATCTCCCAATGTAGCATTTCACCAATTTTTGGCAAAGCAGCCCAGAACCATCTGAATTCCCATAGCACGGGATGGAGTAGTGCGTGCCCTCAAGTATGAAATTGATGGCAGAATTCACTTCATTTCAGAAGCAAATTTGTTGGTGACAGCTCAAATAACTTTTTTTTTTTTTTTTTAAGACTAATGTATGGAATTATTTTTGTGTTTTAGGAAACACAAGACTAAATTATTCCCAAATTCCCCACCATGTCCAGAATGAAACCAAGCCTTTTGCTTTTCATCAAAACCCTCAGCTTGACAGGTTTCATGGTTTTATGTTACAGTAGTAGTTAAAAATGAAAATTCATTAAATTCTTAACAAAGATCCCCTGGACCTAGTCATTTTTGAAGGCTTTTTCTAGCTATCTCAAAGTAAGATGTGACATTTTGATCTACTCTGAGCTGTAATATGGCTGTGACAGACACATTCGGATGCTCTTGCGCCTTACAGCAGATTCACAGGATCCTCTTGAAGGAGTATTGTTCTACAAACAGCAGTTTCAGCCTTTGCAGAGATACTTATTTGATAAATAGCAAGACTAAATTAATTTTCATTTCAGTACAGCTGGTTTTCACCAGCTCTGTGGGTCAACATTTGCACACACAGGTTTCCATGTGAGAATTTAAGGAGCCAGGCTTAGCTCCATCTCCATGCTAGCTCCTCTCCTAACCAACCACAGAGTAAACTTCTGTTCTGACACACTCTATTTTGAACAGCTCCACGGTTTTTACACAGCATAATGTGCATAATCAGCAATGCATCATGAAGGAACCAGTATCAATTTAGAAATAAAGCATGTTAATGGTTACAAAATAGTCTCCTTCCTTGGACACAGCATGACAGCAGCCTTCTGTAACAGTATTCTAAGCTACAGAAGTTAGAAACACAGATACTGCTTTTAAGTAAACGGCCAAGTTAAAAACTTCCGTATTTTTGGAATCGCCATGTAAGGAAAGAGAATAAAGTAGAGATTTTACTTAAGTGTGAAAAGAAAGCAAGGTTGGTTTGTTTGGGTTTGTTGGGAGTTTTTTAGCTACGTGATACTGTGTCAGCAGTATCAAAGTCTGGCTTATTTGTAGGGTTGACAGCCTATGCTGCTGAGAGCTTTACAGAACTCTTGTATGTATACCAAGTGTTCCCAAAACACACTCAAATCTACATTCAGACATAGAAACACATCTCAAAACTGCATGCTGAAGAGGCTGCTGATTTTACCCATGCTGCACAAAACATTATGCCAACTCTTTTAGCCTCCTGCCACATCATTAGCTCACCATCATCCTATAAACATTCTCAGAAACATGAAGGGTCCATGTAGACACAGCATTTCCTTCAAGCCAAGCTTGTGCGTTATCACAGGTTTGTTTACCTAGATTAGCACTAACAGACATGGCAAGTGTTGGTTTACTTAATCTGAAAGTTAGGATCACTGACAAGTAATAAGCCAGTCAACAGGATAGCACAGCTAAGTAGTTTCTGTAGTTAGTCAGGCCTGCAGTAAGCCTGCTCTTTACAGCAGTGCAACTCCGAAATCAGAGATACCATTTCTTACCAGTTTCTTCTGACAGGCTGCAAAGCAGTTAAACTTCTGACTCATATCTCACAAAACTCTTGTGGAAACATCCTCTATCAGAATAATGTGACTTGTGCCACTCAAGTATTTGAAGCAGTCTTAAAAATACTCCAACTGTGACTTAGAACATCGTGGCCTACAGCTGGCTAGCTGAATGGCATCAATAGTGACTTTCTTTCCTGAAAGAGTGCCAAGAGCAGAAGGAGGACTGATGACACAGCTTAAAGCTACAATGCCAACAATCATTTAGAAAGCTTTGTCTCCCAATCTGCCCATCAGCAGCAAAGAACTCAACCCCTGAAGCAACACATTCATTGTTAGATAATACTGAAGTATTCTATTGGTTTATCAATACAATCCACAGTCATATGAATTGTGACTATGAAAGGTCATATGCTATGAATGGGTCCTAAGACTTTTCAGGAAGTCTTAAGCCCTTCAAGACAGTCATACAGTAGTACTAAATATGAATAATGTTAGAAACCTTACCTAAAAAAAAAAAAAGCATCTGAAGGCAAATGTACTGTTTCATAAGCCAGTGTCCTATGAAGATTCCTGCAGCCATGAGATGCAGCAGGCTGTCAGAGTCCTAGGTCTCTTTAGCTGCTCAATTTTCCTTGTACTCAGCTAACCCACCATAAACCATAACTCCTAACTCCTAGCTGGTTTTACTGCACTCGATTGCTTCACACAGCCTTCCCTACATTCAGCAGCTACTACTCAAATCAAAAATCCCCAGCACACAGCAACTAATTGAGATTTCCCAGACAGCTGAATTCAGCATTGTACCTGGGAACACCAGATGAGAATTCAAAGAGGCAAATACAGCAGCCGCTACAGGTTTCCACGTACAGCAACAGCACAGGAACTTCACCTGAGCAAAGAGGGCCAACAGTACTGAATATATATATACACACACACAGACACAGAGTATCAGCACCTGTAGATTGCTACAGTTGTATAAAAAGGAAAGAAAAAAGGCCACAAGCCCGTACAGTGAATATGGTGTATGTTTTATTCTATTTACAGTACATTTGTTATAAATATAATACATTTCTTGAAAATCTTGAGTAGATTTTTTTTTAAAACAGATCAATTGTTATAGTTACATAATAAAGTAAGTGACAATTTAGATGACAATCTCATGGTTGTGAAATAGTGCATTCTGTGTTGAGATGAATGAGAAAATACTCAAACTGGTTGAAGAAAAATTATTTTTTTTTCAACACCTTAGGTGGGACTAGTATGTAAACCTTGAAAGGTCACCAGTTTCCATAAACATGGAAACTCAAAACAAAATTTCAGACTAAAGAAAGATTGAGAAACAGAAATGGATTTGAGAGACCTTATTGAACTTCACAGTAAGGTTGGGATTTATCATGACTAATGGCTTCAGATAGGAAAAAGCCAATGAGGGTTTCTTCCTGAACCATATCCTAATACAGCCACAAATATTATACACACCATGCTGGAAGTTGTAACAGCAGTCAAGCTGCATTTTTGACAGGGCATAGGACATACAAATATGTTCAGATCTGGAGTTAAAGAGTATTTTGTGTTATGAATATCTTAATTACCAGAGAAGAAATACATTATAAAAGGATAACCGTATTTTCAGTCCAACGTGCGTTGCATTGAGAAACAAACTGACAAGTCATCTCAGTATTTTGCTATTTTCTTTTCTA